TATGGCTGAGCGTTGTAGCAGAGAATGTAATGTAAATAAATACAAATGTCTAAGTACTTTAATTTTCTTGTAGCCTAAGTTGTTAGATGATAGATGCTCTGTGTTCAAACCCTAATAGTTTATATTTCTACATCTTGTTTAAGGAAAAAAAAAAACCTTAGTGAAATGGCAGTGTCTTCATCAAATTCTGCTATTTGTAGGACTTACTAGTCTATTTTTGTCATTGGGTTGATCTAGGTTAGTACTGTATACTATTTTCCTAAAATCAATCAGTAGTTTGGTACTAAGCTTCTGATATCAGGTGAGTTCCTATGAAAACAAATATTTAAACAAAACGAAACTGTTATTTACTGCTGAATGTAGCAAACTACAACTAGTTAGTGATTCCTGGTCTAAAGCTAAAGACTTTAAGCAGAAGAAAGTAAGGTGGTGATCCAGAAGGATAATAGGATCCAGGTAGTTGTGTGGATGATTTTAAAAGAAGAATCCAGTTAGGAAGCTGTCGTAATAGTCTAGGCAAAAGATGATGGGGCCGTGAATCAAAATATTGATTGTAGAGATGAAAAAAGAATCAGGCAGTATTTAAACAGAATTCAACAGGACTTGACATTTCAGGGGGAAAGAAAAGTGGCTTTTACTTGTGTTCTATGGTTGCTGGGGAGTACAGAATTCATTTTTACAAGTCTTGTTTGAGATCAGCCAGGAGAGATGTCCTATAGGAAGTCAGAAATAAAGGTATGTTAATGAGAGAGATGAGTAGACTAAAGATGGGAAGTCTTCTTTATAAGTGGGCATAGATGAAATGGCCAAGGAGAGAAAAAATAAGAAAATTGATCACATCTACATGTAAGAGACAGAGCAAGAGCCTTTGGCACTGTAAGGTAGGAGGTAAATTAAAGTACCGTTGTGAAAGCTAGCAGAAGTCTAGAGTTTTTCAGTGTAGTTTTAGATGCTGCAGGAAAATGAGATCATCTCTTTCTTGACTTTTACTAAGTACTTACTTGCCATATATAGTTCTCCGTGCTTTTACACATAGTAATTAATTAAATTTAGGAAGTAAGTACAGTTATCCCCATTTAACAGAAATGAGGAACCTGAGACAGAAAAGGTTTAGTGACTTAACTTGCCCAAGGTTACATTACTAGTAAGTAGCAGAGCTGGGATTTTTTTAGCACAGGAAGTTGAGTTCCAAAGTCTGCTTTTAGTTTCTGTGCTATATGCCCTTACATACTGAGGCATATACTTGCTGGATTGGGCAACTAGGTCGTTATTGGTGAATTTAGTATTTTCAGTTGATGTGCTGAAGCTGGAAATAATTTTTAATAGTGGGTTGATAGAGAAGAAAGGGATGTGAGTAGTGGTGCCTTCCAAAATTTGGGGAGAGAGATGTTTAGGCATTTAAAAGATCTTGTGACTGTTTGAATTTAGTTTTAGGCTAAGAGACATGAAGATAACTTCTATGTTAATGGAAAAATCAATGGAAAAGTACTTGAGTCCAGAGAAGAGATTATGATGTAATGAAACTGGGAGGTATATGTATATGAATTGGAGCAGAGATAGACAGGCAGGGAATAAATAGCCTTGGACTTGGACTGTAAGAGGAGGTGCACCATTTCTTAAACATGTGTCAGGTGTACATTTTCAACTGTATTGATTTGTTGGGGGAGCTTAATGGTCCCATGAACTTTATTTTCTGCTTTTGTATTTGCTTGTTGATGGGGCTAATATCTTTTAGAAACTAGCTATGTTACTAGCTCATTTATATAACCTTGCACTACCAAATTTAATCTCTGCTTTAGTTTATCTGTAAAATAAATGGTGAAGCCAGGAAAGCTGTTTCTCCAACAGCTTTCTGTGTAATCTAGTGGTGAATTAAAAGCAATATAATTCTGCAAAAAGATCTTAAATATCTTAGGTAGTAATATATTTCATTCTATTACAAGCTTGAGATTTTATCTTCTAAGGAAAGATTTAAATTATCTTCTTAGTGATATAGCACTTAACTAAAAGTTCGTTCATATCTTGATCATCCCATTATTTACGTCATTTTAGATTATTTGGTGATAGTCCCCTCTATCTTCCAGAAAAGGGAAATAGCCTATTGCATATTGCTCTAAAGTTTAAAGTTTTTTTGTTTTTAATTTAGTAGGTGACATATAGACTTAATTTTAGCTTTTGAAGGTTACTGTAAACCTAATGCAAATAGTATAGTTGCTCTGTAGAAATAGGTATTTGGCACCAATAGTCTTATTTTTCTATTCTGAGTGTAGGTTAGATCTGTAATTTTGACTTGTGTTCCACAGAGCAGCTTCAACAGAAAATAGAGAAGCCAATCATCTGGAGCTTTGATTCTTTTTCCCTTTGAACCCAGAATAATTTGACTTTCATCTGGTCTAGATATTAGAGTTCCCTGTAAGATTTTAGATGAACAAACTACCTGGTATGATTAGCTAAACATGTTTGAAATATCACAAGGTTGCCCACCTAATCCTTCAGGAATCAAAATCCCATTTAGGTGTTGTCTTCTCCATGTGTATCTTTGCTTTAAGAGTTGATTAATACGGGGCTCCCCCGTGGCTGAGTGGTTAAGTTCTCGAGCTCCACTTCAGCAGCCCAGGATTTCGCTGATTCGGATCCTGGGCACAGACGTAGCACCGTTCATCAGGCCACGTTGAGGCAGCGTCCCACATGCCACAACTCGAAGGACCCACAACTAAAAAAATACACAACTGTGTACTGGGGGGATTTGGGGAGAAAAAGCAAGAAAAAAATTTAAAAAAAAACGAGTTTAATACATTTCATTTAGGAGGATACTTTTTTATTGTTAACCTGTACATTTGGATTCTCTCTCATACAGAATTCAAAGAAGCTTTTTCACTATTTGACAAGGATGGTGATGGAACTATAACAACAAAGGAATTGGGAACTGTAATGAGGTCTCTTGGGCAGAATCCCACAGAAGCAGAGTTACAGGACATGATTAATGAAGTAGATGCTGATGGTAAGACTTTTTAATTTGGGGGTTGGGTGAGGGGGCAGTTGAAGAAGTGGCATTTAAATTCTGTTGTAATGTTTCAACTAAACAAACCATTTTAGGTAATGGCACAATTGACTTCCCGGAATTTCTGACAATGATGGCAAGAAAAATGAAAGACACAGACAGTGAAGAAGAAATTAGAGAAGCATTCCGTGTGTTTGATAAGGTAGGTATTCAAGGACTGGGTTTGTTAAATTTTAACTTGGGGATGAGATGAAGATATCAGCATCTTATTCTTTGAAGACTTGTTTTTCTGATAACTTACTGTCATACTTTAATATCAAGTCAAAGCTTTTTAAGAGTTCTGTATAAACTGAAATTTCCTGATAGGTATTGCATTAATCTTGTGCCAAAGGAGACATCATTTGAGTTTGGAACTAAGAAATAGTGATTTCCATATAGGATATCCTGCTTGGCTCTTAGTGACAATTTATAGGTCAACTATTTGTGCATTCTCTTTAGTTTGGATGGATTTCTAAGTTTTTTTTTCTCCCTAATCTGAAGTTTAGTAAGCTTATTGAACTTCCATTCCAACTCTTAAGCCTATGATTTTACTTAGAAATTTTACTACATTTTTTTCTAGGATGGCAATGGCTATATTAGTGCAGCAGAGCTTCGCCACGTGATGACAAACCTTGGAGAGAAGTTAACAGATGAAGAGGTTGATGAAATGATCAGGGAAGCAGATATTGATGGTGATGGTCAAGTAAACTATGAAGGTAAGTCTTTCACTCTCACCATCTTTTTAGAACTGTTTACTATCAGGTCTCACCCCTAAAGCTAGAATCTGCATTTTAATAAAGTTCTTGGGTGATTTCATAGGCACATTAAAGTTTGAAAAGCACTGTACTCCAAACTGTGCTAAAACAATTTTTGTGTAACAATTGTGGAACAGTTTGAAAAGCTTCAAACTTTCTCAAAATGAAGTTAAGGTGACTTTCTTTCCTTAATTGGATTTTATTTCCCTCTAATTAGCTATGCTTTGATTAAAAAGTATCAAATGTGATACTAAATTAAGAGCAAGAATGCTTTTTATACTAGCTTATCTAAAGCATTAATTTGGTTTATGAAGTTCCAGCCTTGGCAGTAAACTGGTTTTCCTCTGTACATTATGATAATTTTGAGCAAAGAAAAGGGAATGGAGACTGCTTAGTGATTGAGTGAATTTAATTGGTTTTGCCAGTCTTTTCCCATTGACTCAACTTTTTCTGTACTTCTTTTTCAGAGTTTGTACAAATGATGACAGCAAAGTGAAGACGTTGTACAGAATGTGTTAAATTTCTTGTATAAAATTGTTTATTTGCCTTTTCTTTGTTTGTAACTTATCTGTAAAAGGTTTCCCCTTACTGTCAAAAAAATATGCATGTATAGTAATTAGGACTTCATTCCTCCATGTTTTCTTCCCTTATCTTACTGTCATTGTCCTGAAACCTTATTTTAGAAAATTGATCAAGTAACATGTTGCATGTGGCTTACTCTGGATATATCTAAGCCCTTCTGCACATCTAAATTTAGATGGAGTTGGTCAAATGAGGGAACATCTGGGTTATGCCTTTTTTTTTTTAAGTAGTTTTATTTAGGAACTGTCAGCATGTTGTTGTTGAAGTGTGGAGTTGTAACTCTGCGTGGACTATGAACAGTCAACAATATGTACTTAAAAGTTGCACTATTGCAAAACGGGTGTATTATCCAGGTACTCGTACACTATTTTTTTGTACTGCTGGTCCTGTACCAGAAACGTTTTCTTTTATTGTTACTTGCTTTTTAAACTTTGTTTAGCCACTTAAAGAAAATCTGCTTATGGCACAATTTGCCTCAAATCCATTCCAAGTTGTATATTTGTTTTCCAATAAAAAAATTACAATTTTACCCAACTGTTGCTCTCAATCTGAGTCATTTAATTACTTGAGGTTGAATGATTTTGAGAATCAAATGTGGAGGTGGTTTCTACTTTTAGATAAGTATTTTTTTAACTATTTAAGATTGTGTTTAGTTTTTAAATTACGATACTTCCTTCAAAAGGTCTAAGTAAAAGATTAAAAGGCCTTTTGCCAGTGTACCCAGCATGGGACGGCCTAAGGCGGGTGTTGGGTGTTTCCTGCCTTTCTAAAATATTTGTCAGCTTTGGCTTCAGTTTGTCCGTATTGACTTCAGCCATATAATGATTATTTAAAAGTGTTAAAAACACAACAATCCACATCTAGGGGTGAGGGTCATTATGTTTTTACCTCTGTTTCCTAATGTTTTACTCACAGTGCTCTTTAATTCTTATACCATAAGGCAAAGGAGAATTTTCAGTTGTGCCTGCCTACCTGCAACATGTTTTACAAAAAAGGTATCTTTGGGAGTGATTGGCAGTAAACTAAATCTTGTTTTGGTTTTTGCTTCCTTCTAAACCATTGCTTTCTCTATAATTTAAGCTACTTGAAAGGTGGTTATCAGGGTTTTTGTTTTTTAACTACCTGTTAAATACTTAATGAAAGATTCCATAGCAAACCAGAGCCAAGATTAAAACATTAGGTATAATTATTACCTGATTATTATAGCCACAAGGCTTTTCATTTCTCAGAGGGCAATTCATTTCACTAGTTACTGCCTGTTTCTGACTGTTTTAATACTACTGTTTTTGAAAATAGAAAACTGGATGGTTACTGAAGGAAAAGAGTGATACGTATGTTTTAGATAGGACAAGGGAAGTTACAGGCACTGGTAATCCTAACGGGGTATTACATTATTACATATTAGGTAGGCAATCAATTAAATAGGAAGACCTTCATTAGATACAGGAGTTTAGTAAAAAGGAATGCCAAACAAGGGTATTTGGTGGGAGAAAATTCATGTGTCTGGCAGTTGAGGCACAGGAATCTCCAGAGTATTAAAACATGGGCTTTGGAGTTATTGCAACAGTGTTCAGATCACTGCTGTGTATAACCTTGAAGAGGTCAATATTATCCAAGCCTCAGTTATCTTACCTGTAAAATGGGCATAATTTACCCAACTGGTTTCTAGCTTTGATAATAATGAAGGTAAGGCACTTAGCATAGTCTTCGGCATTTGCAGTAAGTGTTCAATGATGTTACTAAGCTGTTAAACCAATTACGACCGTATAAAATGAGGAAATTGGGCAAAATTGGTCTTGATGTTTTTCCAGTTTCATCAGTTTGAAGTTTATCTAAGTTGCTGACAACAAGGTGGAAGGGGTAAACAGATTTTGGAGTACTTTTGTGTGTCCTATTAATTGCTGATTTTATAATCTTCACAAAAGTCACAAAGTAGGGATTGTTTTGATTTTACTGGAAGTTGAACTATAGAGCAGTTTTATATAACTAGTCATATTGAGCACATACTAAGCTGGGTTCAAGTTTCAGTTCTACTTCTATAACATAATCTTACTCAAACCCAGAACTATAATTTTGAAACCTTCAAATCTTAACCATATTACCTCTTTCCTACTAGCAAGATCATGGTGATTGATCATTCTTTCCTCAGTACTATGTGTAGCATGTTTGCTCTCAGACAATTCTAACAAAAACCATCACTATTGCAGTTAAAATGATCCTAGGATGTGAAGTATTTTACCTAGAATTTTTATTAAAGATATGATACACAGCAGAGGCACTGTAGAGCTCTACTTAGTATATAGTTCTGGATTCTCAGAAATGCCTTCCCCCTTTTTAAAACTGGTTATGATAACCTAAAAATAAATCTGAAACTTTGATAACTGTATAAAACAGTGCTTTCTTAAGAGGACATTTTGTTTTTCCTACATGCTTAAATCTGTTTCATTGGTAAAGTCCTTGAAATCATTGACCCATGCCGTTTCTATTTTTGAGATACTCAAACTATTTTCTCGCCTAGATGTTCCCTTCTATTTCACATTTTGTATGGGTTTCTGGACTTCTCTGTACCTTTCATCATATTCTTTTAGTCTCTAGGGTACCAGTCCCTAGTCTACTGAGCCAGTTTTACAGGCTCAGCCAAAATAAGAAAATGAAATGAGGCACAGCGATGGACTTGATTAATCTCTTAACATTTGTGAAAACTCTAGTTTTTACTTGCCTCTTGGCCTTATAATTTCACTTCTTAATTTCAAACCCAGTACCTGGTGGTGGTGGTGGTTTTCTTTTTTTTTAAGGCTTTGTTACATGAACTTAGAATCTCAGTATTTTAAGAGAAATTAAATGGCGTCCTCTAGTGTGCTACTCAAAAAGTTGCCCACAGAATCACTTGAGAGTTCATTGGAAGTGTGAATTTTAGTCCTTGCCCCAGAATCTGAATCAGAATCTATTTTAACAAGATCCCCAGATGTTTTGTACACATTAATTTTTGAAAAGCATTACCGTGGTCCATCCTCTGGTTTTATTTGTAAAGAGGAAAACTAGTCATTTATTCAACAAATGTTTTAATCCCTCCTGGTTTCAAAGGGCTCAGGATTAAGACAAAAACCTGTGATTTTGGATATGTTTAAAATTAGAGGAGAAACAATTTGTCAAAGACCTCCAACCAAGATAAGCACAGGGTCTTTTGGGGTCAAGGGATTAGGCTTAGGAGGACTTCGCAGAGGAGCTGACCCCTGGGGTTTGGCAGGCCATCAAAGAAGGGAATAGTATCTTAAGCAGAAGGGCTGGCATATTCGGGGACAATAGAGTATGAAGATGGCATGTTTGGCGTTTGCAAGTATACATCAGGGCATGAGGTTCTAGTGAAGGAAAGGAAATGAGATTGGATTGTAAACTTTGCTTTTGTCTTAAAGACAATGATAGTCCATATTTAATGAATGCATTGTGCCTGACATGGTTCTAAACATTTCACTCAAGTTAATCTTGATAATCACCCCATGTGGGGTACCAATTTACTATCAACTTTATAGACAAGCACAATAAATCACAGCAAATGCAGCCAGTGTTTAAATTCTAGTCATGGGAGGAGAGGGATTCACGAATGAGGGAGTGGAGTGGAGTAATAATGCAGTAATGACAAATGGAGGTCAAATTTGATAAAAGCTGAAAAATCCCCATTGGTTTTGGCAATTGGATCACTGGCTAGTTTAGCAAGTGCAATTTTAATTGAAGGGTGTGTGCACATGTCAGATTAAGATGGTTTTAGGAAAGTATAGGAGATGAAAGAATTGAGTCCCCATTACTCTTGAAATTTTGTGAAAAGAAGCAGAAACTTTATGGCGTAGTGGACAGTGGGGTGCTGGATCTAGCCCTGGATTTCAACTCTGTGCCATTTCTGTATGATGCTGAGTCAACTGTACTAAACTGTCCAAGGAAGCTTCTGTTTGCTCATCCACAGAATGGGATTAATGCCTACTTCACAGGATCATTGTGAGGATTAAATTAGGTTAATGTATGTGAAGTATCTGGAACACAGCAGGTACTCTATAAAATGAAATTATTAAGGTTGAGGGGAGGGTTCGTTTTTAAAGATGAGAATGTTTATAGGTTGATAAGCTATAGCCAAGAAAGATTGAAAGTGAAAAAGGTCTATACAGATAGGAAAGAGGGTGGTCCGCGGTTTAATGCTCACTCCACTTCTCAAATCAGAGGCAAGAGAAGTGACACTCCCAGAATTTCCATCTGGAGTTTAGAAACTAATCTAAGGCTGATTTTTTGCCTTAAAGCTCAGTATGCCTCCCAAGCACGGGGTCTCCCTGCCTGGGGGTGTGGGATGGGGGGCGATGGGGAAAGGGCTTAATTTAGATTCCGGTACACTCAAGCCTTTACCAGCCGCCTTTATGAGCCCCCCTTGGCGCAGGTACTTAGCGAGGGCTCTCTGGCGACTCTAGAGCCCTCTAGATTTTCTTACCACACGTGTGCGTGACCGTCTCGAACGATTTCCTCTGCGCGAGGCTTAGCGCGGGGCCTCAAAGCGTGCGCCCGCCTCCCTTCCCCCACCAGCGGAGTCAGACCTTGGCGGGTCCCCCGCGCACGCTCGGGAGAGGGCCCGAGGTGCCTCCTGGCAACCGGACGCCGGCCTCGGCCTCGGGAGCGAGGAGGCCGCAATGGAGCCGCCAACCACCGCCATCCCCGCCGCCTCGGTAAGGCAAGACGTGGGGCATGGCGGTTCGGTGGTCTTGGCCCCGGCACCGCCGTCCTCCCCTGGTCCCCCACTACTGTTCCCCTCGCCGGGCTGCTCCGCCAAAAATCCCACCTCTCTCTCATCCCCGGCTCTTGCGCCCCTCCAGTTCTCTCTTCCTACTTTTCTCTCCCTGCCCCACATCTACACCTGGAGTCCATTCTTCCTGATCTTTATTTGAGCTCTTCGCTTTATTTTGTCTTCCCTTGCTACTCCCTTATCTTCCCATTCGCCCTCTGTTTTCCTTCTTCCCTGCTGCTGATTGCGCTGGACGACAGCTTTCCAGGGTGACTGGATTTCTTTCATTTTCTCCTGTCTGCCTAGAGAATGGGTTTTTCTTTCAGTAGTCTATTAGACACGATTTTGCCTCACCTCCTTTTTTATAAATAGAAATGTGTTTTATATATTTATATTTTATAAAATATTTGAAACTACCGTTGCTTAGTTTTAAAATAAATTTGGGCGAGGGATGTTTAGCTTATCTTTTGTAAAGCAATTCACCCCTAAGGAGGATTTGAAGTGGTAGGTGGGTGTTTATATCACCTGCCTTGGACGAAAGAGCAGATGCCAATTACTTTCCTTTAGGCTATCATGCTGACCTCCTCCTTCTCCCCGCCTCATTTTCCCCATCCTAGATGGAGGTGGGAGACCTGTCTTGACCTGCCTGCATGAGAAAGTTTGATTTCTGTGACTATAAATGTGCAGCATAGAAGATTCAACATAAACCTAATAAAGGGAATACATTGGAAGAAATTCAGACTTAGCAACATGTATGAAACACATTTTTTAGAGAAACGCACGTATTTCATAGTAAAACTAAAGCCCAGGGGTACTCATAAGTAGAGTGGATATAAGTTGCTAAGACAGGAAGAATAAATTATATCAGTTTTACTGATGAGATGGTTTATTTTTAATCCATTATTGCTTGAGATAACCCATGTTTCTTAATAATAACAAAAGCATTAGAAACTAGAACTCACTATTTTAATGATTTTACCTAGTGGAAAGAGAACAAAAGGAAAAAACTAAACAACTGTGTTCTGATGACAATGAGGCTAAAACAAATGTGGAATAAAAAAAAAATGGGTAGAGAGTACTTCCTATGGAAGACAAGAGTGTCCTTGGACACTGAGGAATACCAAAATAATCTGCTTCTTAACTTGGCAGATGAAATGTCAAAAATAAAAGCTACCATTTATTGAGCACTGGTTTTGGTTGCAGGTCTTTATGTGTACAATGCCTGATTCTCATGCCAACCCTGGTGGTGCCTGATTTTTATATTCCCAAGAGGAAGCTGAGACTCATAAGGGTTAAGTACCTCGCCTAGTGCTGCTAGCTGCTAAGTGGCAGAGCTGGAGGTCAAGCCCAAGTCTTGTCTGACTCCTCTAACATTTTGTCTCTAGTGTCACAGCATGCTGGACGAGCTGAGAGACCTGGCTGTATCATATTTATATGATACATATTTCATAATATATATAAATCTAGGAAATGGCAGTTTTCAACATTTGCCGTATTGCCAGGGATTTGTATCCCAATATATTAATTTGATGACTACACTTTTACCTTGAGCTCTCAGCACAATCACTTGAGCCATAAATCTTAATAACAATGATAATAATACAATTTTGAATTTATACAACTCTTTTCTTCCTAAGAACACCAAACTTTGTCATAGCTAATCATCCTGTGACATCTCTGTGAGATGGGGATATTTATGCCTCTAATTTTCCCAAAGGGAATTTAGATATTTAAAAAGCACTTGAGATAATAGCAATTTAAGGAAATATTACAAGCAAAATTTGTCATTATGTAGGTTTTATTTTAATTCAGGCTGATCAATTTGGTGCAAGTATTAATTTCTTCAAGTAAATGTTTTATAAATTACATTTAACTTCCAGGGATCACCTCTCAAATGAATAAGCATATTTTATGTTTGTTAATAGAAACTAACCCGGAAGACGTCATCTTTGGAAAGAGAAGGATGGTGGAGAATGGCTTTAACAGTACGTGCATTTCTTTCTTTCCTACTTAGATCATTATTCTTCTCATTAATATTTTAAGCAGTCTTACCTTTTAAGTCACTAACACTTTTTGTAAGAAAAGTTGTTTTTCTTTTTACAAAAAAGTTGCTTTTCTTCCTAGAAAGAAAAAGTTTTCTAAGAAAACAGTCGTTCAAATCTACGTAGGCCTTATTTCATACTTAGAATTTTAGTATCAGCATATGAATGAGAAACTAACTTTAAATTTTGAATGCATTAAAAGCTTAGAAAAGTAAAACTTTAGAAATCTAGCTACTTCACAGAGTATCTGGATAAGATCAGCTTAGTTTATGATGGTGGTGAGATTACACAAGGAAGAAAAAGCATACATTCTGGAAAGGTGTTTGGGTTTCAGTTTTTCTCTTACTTGGATGGCATAGAGCCTATGATAACTTTTGTTAACATGGCCAGTGTATAAAAACAAGATGGTAATATATGAAAGAAAAATGACCAGATGTTTCCCCTCTCAAGACACATAGTTTCTGTATTGCAGAAATATTTTTCTCTCAACACCCTTCAATAACACAGGGAGCCCGTGGGCCAAAGCCTTCTTGGAATTGAACTGATTTTAATGGTGGAACTGAGCTTGAATGCTCAATGAAGGATGGCCACAAAAGCAGCAGTGACTAAACTTTCGGGTCTGGCCATTCAGCCACATTGGGTTGTGGTTTGAAAGTACCAAACCTCTTATTGGTCCAGTTAGACCCTAGGCTCTGCCAATTCATCCGCAGTCTCATGTTAGCATCTGTTAGCTGCGCACTTGAGAGCGAGAAAGGAGCGTGTAGTATCTACTGAGCAGAAGGAGGATAACTTCCATTTAGTCAAGAAACTTAATCCCGAGTGGTCTCACTAGAGGCCTAAGATTTATAGTCAAATTGAATCTCCAGTTTAAGTACCTCTGGAGCTACTTTTTAAAAAGTTAAAGCTTCAAGTATGGCTATAACCCATTTGCTGTAACTCAGCAGTTGTCTCAGAAAGGGGATAATCATGATTCTCTTGAAATATTGTTCTTTTGAGAGTGTTTAGTATGTTTGATAGAATTTTATTAACCTTTAAGACAAAGAACAATGCTGCTTAGGCGTGATCCTTCTGAGAATGAGGCTTTAGGAGATGTTACGGGTTTACATGCTGATCTGAAAAACGATGTCGGTTTTCCACAGAGTACTCCTATCCCTGGCACTTACCACTTGAAAACTTTTATTGAAGAATCCCTGTTAAATCCGGTGATAGCAACCTACAATTTTAAAAACGAAGGGAGGCGAAAACCACCTCTTGTGCAAAGAAACAATCCGGTAGTAAATGACCTTCCCCAGTACATGCCTCCTGACTTCTTGGACTTGTTAAAGAAGCAGATGGCCACTTACTCGTTTAAGGACAAACCACGGCCCAGCCCCAGCACACTGGTTTACAAAGATAAGGTAAAGTGCTCCCAGCAGCTGGGTTTTTGTGGGAAAGCTACCAAGAGCACCTGAGGAAAATATTTTATATACTTACAATGTGTCTTCTCCAGGAGAGATTGAAAACCTTTAGGATGCCTTATTTTCTACAGAAATCAAATACGGCCTGCCTGATTTGCAAACATATGCATAAGAGTTTTCCCTGTGAGGCCTCTCTAACCCAAGGAGGGTCCATGGGGGAAAATTCTCTCTCTGGGGACACTTGGCAGGATTCCCCTGATTTGGGGAGCCTCTGGGATCTTCTCTGTGGTCAGGCCCTGCTTCTGGTGTCTTCAAGCGGCTGTCTACAGTGTATTCTCTTCTTTTAAAGAGAAAACTCTGGGGCCAGCCCCGTGGCCGAGTGGTTAAGTGCGTGTGCTCTGCTTTGGCAGCCCAGGGTTTCGCCGGTTCGGATCCTGGGTGCGGACATGGCACCGCTCATCAAGCCATGTTGAGGTGGCGTCCCACATAGCACAACCAGGATGACCTACAACTAGAATATACAACTATGTACTGGGGGGCTTTGGGGAGAAGAAGAAGAAGAAAAAAAAGGATTGGCAACAGATGTTAGCTCAGTTGCCAATCTTTAAAAAAGAAAGAAAATTCTGCCTTTTGGTGAGTAGTACCCTTATTAGTGTGTGAATACAACTGTATACCATAGGGAAACTTTTTCAAAAATTTCTTGTAGAGACTTGGCTCTCAGCTCCACCAGTTCATTCATCACCTTGGCAATACAGGCACTGCTATGCTTACAGCCCTGTGCCAGGTTCTGTGGAAGGAAGATGTAAGTAAAATACAAGAGCAAATATATCAAGTGCTGAGATAAATAGTGCAGTAGGAAATGCTGGGGGAGGGTTCAGTGTAGGCTGGACTGAAAGGCTGGAAGGCTCCCTGGACTAAGTAGGATGCAAGCTGGACCTTGAATAATGCATGACATTTATGTGGCTCTTAATAGTTTCCTGTGAACTTCTGCATATATTCTCTTAGGTGTTCTTCCCAAGCATTCTGAAATAGGCAGAACAGATGGTATCCCCATTTTACAGGGAGAAAACTGAGGTGAAAAGAGACTAAGTAACTTATTCAGAGCACATAGCTACTGAGTAGGTGAGGTGGTACTTTTTTTTTTTGCTGAGGAAGATTCGCCCTGAGCTAACGTCTGTGCCAATCTTCCTCTATTTTATATATGGGTCCCTGCCACAGCATGGCTGCTGACGAGTGGTATAGGTCCACACCCAGGAACTGAACCCAGGCTGCTGAAGCAGAGTGCACCAAACTTAACCACTAGGCCATGGGACAAGCCCCAAAGCAGTACTTTTAACTGAGGGCTCTGAGCCCATATTTAGTGCTCTTTCCAGTTTACCCTGTGCCTCTGGCCTTGAATGAGGAGCAGGGTTTGGATGGGTGGAATCTGAGGGAGGTGTTTCAAGGGAGGGGCATAGCATTGTCAAAGGCCTGTTCAAGGGACAGAGTCCTGACTTGGACTTTGTTACTTGAGACTTTGGACCTTAATATCTCCCATTTATAGTGAAACTAGTAATAGTATCAGTCTTCCCAACCTTATCAGAACATTGTGATAATCTGAGAAGAAATGCACTGCAGCTGAAGGTTGAATGAAATACAAGGGGTTGTGGTTATTAGGATGGACCAGAAAATTTCAGCCAAACGAGTACATGTCGTATCCAACAGGTAAACCCTTCCTACTGCTTTGCAAATTACAGCTTTGAAACAGGACAGAATGATAAATGTTCACTGGGTAAATCTTGTCCTGTTCACTTCAGTGGATGAATGACAGACACTTAGACTTTTGCAGCCGGGTATCTGGTAACCACGCTGTGTGTGAAATCGTCCTGGCCGCCTCCACTGCAAAATCATTCTTCTTCATCCACTGCTCTGTTTACTTCCCTTCTGCTTCCTCTCTTCTTGCTCTTAGGGGTTTCTGAGGGTAGGCCAAAGCCCACTGTTGAAAGAAGAAATCATGGAAGGTTGCTATCAAGCAAAATTTAAAGCTTTAAAAGACCGAAAGAATTTGGCTTACTCAGAGGGATGGATAAAACCTTCTGAAAACATACTTTTTCTGTTTCTTTCTTTTCTTTCTCCTCTCTCTCCCCACCTCCCACAAAGGATTGAGCTCCAGAAACTGGAAGAATTAAATGTTTTCCTAATTTTATGTTTCAAAGGTATATGATAGTACATTCACAAGAGGAGAGATATTCAGGCGTAACATTGTTCACCGACAAAATTCGTAATTCTGGTTTTTTAAAAGCAGAACTCAGTAAAATAATTTGAATTTGAAGTCAATATAGTATACATTATTGTTATTTATTAAGATAAAACAACATTCTCAAGCTTCATAATTTTTAATAGAATATTCAGTTTATACCTATTAGTGCTGCTTTTTATTTGTAAGAAAGTTTTTACTATTTTTAACACCTTTATTCTGAAGCATGTAACTCAACTGGAGAATCTGTATCAAAGAATCTCATCATATATATGCATGTATATATTTATGCACATTTCAATGTGTGTATGTGTGTGTGTGCTCATCTATATCTGCCTCTTTCCAAAGATTATTTGAGATGGCCCTACAATTTTTACAATAATTTTTTTCTTAACAGGGAAGCATTTTTTTTTCATAGAATATATGTACAAAAGTGGGACCATATTTATATGGTCCATATATGTTTTTTATATGTTTTTTATCTATTTATATATTTATATGTCTCTCCATATTTATAGTTTTATGACCTGCTTTTCCCCCAATGTTGCAGTCATCCACTAACCCCTGGTTTGCTCCCCCTTATTTCTGGATGATTTTAGCTCCCTTTGCTCCCTGTCACTCTTTCCACTACTACTGTCATGATTTCGGTACACCCGTAGATCCTGGCTTCTCAGTTTCTTGAATTCTCCTCTACCTCAACAACTCACTCCTTAGATTTTTTCAACACCAATTATTTCAACCTTCCATAATCTCAATTGCATGCCTCCCACTCTGATCACTCTTTCCCCTTTTTTTTTCTTCCCGAGGAAGATTAGCCCTGAGCTAACGTCCACTGCCAATCCTCCTCTTTTTGCTGAGGAAGACTGGCCCTGAGCTAACATCCGTGCCTATCTTCCTCTACTTTACATGTGGGACGCCTAACACAGCGTGGCGTGCCAAGTGGCGCCATGTCTCCACCAGGGATCCGAACTGGCAAACCCCAGGCTGCTGAAGCGGAACGTACACACTTAACCACTGCGCCACTGGGCTGGCCCCTGATCACTCTTTCTTTTTTTTTTATTTTTATTTTTTTTTATTTTTTTTTTTATTAATGTTATGATAGATTACAACCTTGTGAGATTTCAGTTGTACATTTTTGTTAGTCATGTTGTGGGTACACCACTTCCCCCTCCGTACCCTCCCCCCACCCCCCCTTTTCCCTGGTAACCACCGATCAGATCTCCTCAATATACTAATTTCCACCTATGAGTGGAGTCATATAGAGTTCGTCTTTCTCTGACTGACTTATTTCGCTTAACATAATGCCCTCGAGGTCCATCCACGTTGTTGTGAATGGGCCAATTTCGTCTTTTTTTATGGCTGAGTAGTATTCCATTGTGTATATATACCACATCTTCTTTATCCAATCATCAGTTTCTGGGCATGTAGGCTGGTTCCACGTCTTGGCTATTGTAAATAATGCTGCGATGAACATAGGGGTGCAACGGACTCTTGAGATATCTGATTTCAGGTTCTTAGGATAGATACCCAGTAATGGGATGGCTGGGTCATAGGGTATTTCTATTTTTAACTTTTTGAGAAATCTCCATACTGTTTTCCATAGTGGCTGTACCAGTTTGCATTCCCACCAACAGTGTATGAGGGTTCCTCTTTCTCCACAACCTCTCCAACATTTGTCGTTCTTGGTTTTGGATGTTTTTGCCAATCTAACGGGGGTAAGGTGATATCTTAGTGTAGTTTTGATTTGCATTTCCCTGATGATTAGCGATGATGAACATCTTTTCATGTGTCTATTGGCCATATTCATATCTTCTTTTGAGAAATGTCTGTTCATGTCCTCTGCCCATTTTTTGATCGGGTTGTTTGTTTTTTTGTTGTTAAGCAGTGTGAGTTCTTTGTATATTATGGAGATTAACCCTTTGTCGGATAAGTGGCTTGTAAATATTTTTTCCCAATTAGTGAGCTGTTTTTTTGTTTCAATCCTGTTTTCCCTTGCCTTGAAGAAGCTCTTTAGTCTGATGAAGTCCCATTTGTTTATTCTTTCTATTGTTTCCCTCAACTGAGGAGTTACAGTGTCCGAAAAGATTCTTTTGAAACTGATGTCAAAGAGTGTACTGCCTATATTCTCTTCCAAAAGACTTATTGTCTCAGGCCTAATCTTTAGGTCTTTGATCCATTTTGAGTTTATTTTGGTGTGTGGTGAAAAAGAATGGTCAATTTTCAATCTTTTGCATGTGGCTGTCCAGTTTTCCCAGCACCATTTGTTGAAGAGACTTTCTTTTCTCCATTGTAGGCCCTCTGCTCCTTTGTCGAAGATTAGCTGTCCATAGATGTGTGGTTTTATCTCTGGGCTTTCAATTCTGTTCCATTGATCTGTGGACCTGTTTTTGTACCAGTACCATGCTGTTTTGATCACTGTAGCTTTGTAGTATGTTTTGAAATCGGGGATTGTGATTCCGCCGGCTTTGTTTTTCTTGCTCAGGATTGCTTTAGCAATTCGCGGTCTTTTGTTGCCCCATATGAATTTTAGGATTGTTTGTTCAATTTCTGTGAAGAATGTTCTTGGGATTCTGATTGGGATAGCATTGAATCTGTATATTGCTTTAGGTAGTATGGACATTTTAACTATGTTTATTCTTCCAATCCATGTGCAAGGAATGTTTTTCCATCTCTTTATGTCATCGCCTATTTCTTTCAAGAAAGTCTTGTAGTTTTCATTGTATAGATCCTTCACTTCCTTGGTTAAGTTTATCCCAAGGTATTT